AAAATACGCGTTCATGACTACTTTTGGGCGTAATTTCCCGAGGTGAAAAAATGGTCGATATAGGCAGAAATATACTTATCACCAACTGATTAGCAATTGGATCCTTGCAAAAAAAAAAAAAAAAAAAAACACGCAACTTATCAAATATTTATATCTTTCGAGCAAACTTTCTGTTACTCACGCTTTTTTGAAGAACACACAACCATTTTTTATTTAATAGTACGTAGGTGATGCTATAAAACGCGGGTACCTCTTCTGTGTACTTGATCTGTAGCTGTAAAAGTTTTATTACACGGTTCAACACTGCCTAGAGCTATCGTGTGTTTTGTGTTCTGTGTCCCTAATGTGTATGCATAATGAACAGATGTTTTTTCTTTAAGTAAACACAGGAAATGAAAAATGAGTCGTGACATGATACGAGCAACTTCGCTTCGTTGAGTACAAATAATGGGCGAATCCAGTTAAAATATCAAGCGATCTTTAGACATTTGATTACTTTGCGCTGCGAAAAAAAAAACTGTTCGAAATTGTATCAAAGAAGAAATGAAAATGGATTGAAAATCGCTCTTGGTTAACAGCCATCTGTTCACCAAGTATCAGCGGCAGACTACTACGGAGCATTGTCGACATGTGATTGGGGTGGATGATGAAAAAAGAACTGTAGTTTGAAGTTCTGATTAAGCACCTTTGTCAAATACCTAAAGCTCATTCATGTCTTTGAGAGTTTGTCTTTAGGCATACTGTTTTTTCCACTGGCAATAAATTAATTATTCATACAGTTTTCATTGATAATATGTCACTTTTGTATCTCAACATTGAATCGTTGTAAAACGTTGTTTGACAGGTTGACGTCTCATGTGCATGTCCGACGTGAGCGTAACGCAAGACCTGAAAAAAAACCGCTTTTCGTTTCTATTTTTATTTTTTTCGTTGTCCCGCCTTATAGGAAATGGTCATAAAATTAATCAGCTGGATAAAAGTAACTTAGTAGACGGATTGGTGTGTGATATCTCTGTGTATATCTACTTGTTATTTTTATTTTGACTCGCCCTGCGGGCTTTTGCGCATACGGCACAACTTGTAAAAATGCTTTGCAATGTTACACACAAAAAGTCTCATAAGACATCTTTATCAACCATAAATTATGCAACAACAGCAAAAACATCATCAAAAAAAACTGGTCGTCAAGTTTAATAGCCGTTGTGGCATTTTTCGACAACCTCTGAAAAATTAGAATGTATGTAATTACTAACTGAGGTCGGTCGGGCCGGACGGAAAATAAGTGGCTCTTAATCATAATAAAAGGGACTAAGTCAAACCACGAGTGGGACGGCAACAAGGACATGACAAAACAAAATATCTAATGGGCAGAAAAATACCTCAGCGCGTGTGTTTTAAAACTTTATATGTCTCTTAGCCGACCTGTGCAAAACAACAAGGTGAACTCATTAAAAATTTGCATGGTCTGAGAACTTTAACCCCGACGTTAAATGATTCATGTTTTCCATGTTTAACTCATGGCTGCTCCCACATGTTTGACCGAATTGAGGTGGGCGCCTTGAGAGACGATAAACGCGTCCAGCCATTTGCAAAATTGTAGATGAAGATGAAAAGTCCAATGGACGTCTTCCTTGGCATTGTCTCCCTGACATGCCTTCGGTCCCTATACGGCGATTTTCTTTTTTTTTTTTAATAAGGCATTAGGATTACATGTTCCGGGGTTAGAGTTTGCCTTCGCATGTTATTAAAAAGGGCAGCTGCCAAAGGGCACGAGTAGAGGAAATGTTTTATCAAACATGTGATCAAACATATCAAATCTCTATACACACCATTACACCTTTGAATTATCTATCTTTTATATTCAAATCAATGGTATGTACGGCCTTCCTCGGCCGTAGCCGCATTTCATTGAAATAAATCGCCATTAATGGTTCATCTCTACGTTCTTTACGTTAATGGGCAATAAATACAACTTATTCGATGGTTTCACGTATAATACGCGTGAATATTTTTCAATCCCTGTATAGGGCGAGGAAAAATACAAACTGTCCGTAGTTTTTGCTTGTTCTTTAGTGTAATATCGTAGCATATCTTGCACGTTCCGTTGCCCTAATGCGGTAAACTGCTAGTTTCCTTTCAGCAATGTTACGGTCACCTGACCATGCCCATCTGAGTTGTAACAACATTCATTCTGCTGATCTCTTCCCGAGTTAAACGATCCACCTCCACCCCCACAGGAATCGCTCACACCAACCCCACTGCTTCCTCCAGAGTACCCCCCTCCACCGCCTGCACCCCCTTTATATTGTGTACCTCCACCACCGCCACCAAAGCCGCCGAACATAATAGGCATTGCGGCCCTGCCCCCTTTCCCTCCGTTGAGAAAAGCCTTACCACCTTCGCTGCCATTTCCTAATACTCCTCCATATTCCAGTCCACTCCTTCCATCTGAGTAAAAACCTCCGCCACCGCCACCTGAACATCAAATAACAAATATCAGTGATATAGGTATAGATAGTCAAATAAGTTCGGATTCAATTTGGTGTAAATAATCACGGTTTCAGACTAAAAACAGCTAAAGTGAACTGTTCAGTTGGAACCATCCTCGAATAAAATTCTAACGATAATTATAACAACATATTTTTTTTAATCGAAGTCTTCCCTTGTTATCATTAACATAACAATTTCCTCGATTGTGATTGGTTTGATAATTTCCTACTTTCCACTAATTCACTTGCCAAGTTGTTATTATTGGACAATTCAATAGGCCAATCACGTTCAAAGTTGTAGTTAAAATCAACCAATAACAACCTTGGACTCAACCATAACCATAGAACCAGTAATTGTAATTTTTGATTAATAAATCCCCTGATAAACAAAACAGATTCCCGCTGCCAGTCGTCCGACTTTGTTATCACTCGTATGATTACAGACCGAATTGGACTCCACTCAGTTCCATTACCATTACTTATCGTCATGTTTTATTTATAATATAGACCCTGACCTGCTTTTTACAATCATCAACCGTCTGGGAACCATGTCCATTGCTCCCCCGACCATGATCATATAGCCAGGATTCCCCGTTGTGTTTGCACTGGCATCACATCCTGCATGTGTCTTGATTGCGGGTCGATTACACCACCACCTCCTCCAGCAATTACCAAGCAGTCGTTTGTTTCTTTGACTACAAAAGATCCACCCCCTCCACTACTTGTGCGTTCACTCTTGCCCCCCTCCTGGCCAACGAGAATTTGAATGATTTCTCCATTAATCAATACAAAAGTCCCGCTTATTCTTGCACCTCTTCCTCGATACTCGGCGTATATGCCGTCGCGCTGCTCATTGTAACCACCTGCGGCTCCAATTGCTTCTATTCTGTAGTGACCAGAATAAGGCACAGTCCAGAGTTGAATACCTCTCGACAAAGAAACTTGTCCATCGTGATCCTGACCTGCGTAATAATTGTCAAGTGATTTGGGACCAGTGCGTCCTGTTCTGTCCAGGTTTGTAAATACGGCGTTGAACCCTGAAATATGCAGAATAACTGATCCAATAATGTATGAAAAAAATTACGTGCTTCTTATTGGCTAACAACGAATGCATTCACATGTAACGCGAGTGCAAAGTTGAAACTCGAGTGCAAAGCTGTAACACGAGTATAAATTGCAAATATTTCGTCAATCTCGATTTTCTGCGATGTTTTGTCGCATACATTATTAACAAGTAATGATATGATTTCTCTTGCAGTTTGGCGCACTAAGCGCTTTGGAATTTTTCAAAGACAACAAACTGCATTTGCCCTACGCACTCGTGCAATTTTGTTGTCTTTAAAAAAAATTACTCGTGCTTATTAACACTAAATTGCATTCGAAATGATGTTATTACCTATACAAAACCAATCTTGAGTGAGGAAACCTAGATGTCAGTTACCAAGGGTTAGATTTTACTAAGACCTCTCTCACTGTGTTAAAACTTGAGGGGGTGAGATTGGGACAAGACCAGGAAGGAAACGGAGCTTTCAAGCCAGAAAATAAAAACAGCCTTTTGGTTTCTATGGTCATAACACATCACAAAAACCATTGACAAGATTTTTATGAAAAAGGAAAAGCCACTCTAATACTAAGCAAATTGAGTACTTTGCTAGCGAAGTAGTTTTGGTATTTTAAGAATATATTGAAAAGAAACTATACTCGCTTTTTATGATCTAAAATTTATCCTTACAGTAAGCTACTGATGTTATAAGCAAAGAAAAAAAAACAGATTTTGACCTTTTTATACGTATAGGTAGTAACATGATTTCGATTGCATTTTGGTGTTGATAAACAGGAATAAAAATTTTCAATGACAACAGATGTGCACGAGCCCTTAGGGCGGGTATAATTTGTAGTCTTTGAAAAATTTACAAGTGCTTAGTACACCAAGTTGCAAGAGAAATCATGTTATTACTTGGTAATGAAGTACATGAAAAAAGCATCAGAAAAAGGTAAGATAGACGACGCTATTTATAATTTGCACTCGTGTTAAATGAGAATGTACTCGTTTTTAGCCAATCATAAGCGCGTAATTTTCTCGTGTTCATTGTTAAATGTTACAACGGGCTCGCTTGCATCAATAACAACCGACTAATTAAAATTAATAATTTTTTCACGAGAATTGATTGCAAGTCGTGGCAATGCGTCAATTAAAAAATACACAATGTCAGCAATATTTAACTACAATAAAGTGTACGTTCTATTACTTTTTGAATTTTTTCTGTAAATTTCATTTCTCTCTCCTTCCCCCCATTTCACTGATGTTATCAAACTGCTCACCGATTCCAGGCAATATTGTTTGGAGGGAGAAGGGGGCTTTCAAGTTTCTTTTTTTCAGATGAATTACATGATTTCTGTTGATCGGAGGGTTGTCGGCCACCGACAAATGGGTGCTGGGGAGGGGGTGGGGATCCGGAGGCGTGCGAACTACTTTTGCTACTTATCATAACTGACGTAACTTTTACCTTTTTCACATCCTTTTCCCTTAAAGCCGGATTGACAGACACATTTATAGTCCATAACCGTTATTCCAGGTTGGCATGTGCCTCCATTTAGACACGGACTGGTGTGGCACGCGCTCTGAAACCAAACCAAAAGTATAGCTTAATCAACTTTAATCATAAACATGTTTTCTTTTTGATTTAGGTTGTTCTATTGGATTTTGATAGAAGTGCTTATAAAGAAGAAACAGACTGAGTACTATAATCATGGCTACACGCTGAAAAAAGGTGATCTCCATCTTAATGCTGTGATGTAATATACTGATGAAAAAAACAAAGATATTGCATCAAATTTTTCTATGTATTTTTTTTCAATTTCATCAATTTTTCATTAAGTTTTTCCAAATGAAATCTGTATTCACCCCCTCTTTAATATTGCTAAGTTTCTTGGCTCTTCTCAATTGTCATTGCCTTGTTGTCTTCCAATTAAGATTGGATTTCCAAAACTGTCCATTATCTTAAATTATGTTGGCAAAGAGAGAAGAAAGGGTTTTTTCTTTAATGCTTCACTTTCGGGCCTCTTTTCCTAGTTTTGTTTTTTGATAACAGTTTACCGGCAAGGAGAATAAAGAACTGACTTCAAACTGCATGGCTTTTGAAATGTTTTCTTTGCGCTTTAACGACGCATAGAAACGTGACTTCAGTGCTGCGCCTGTACTCTGACAGATCACAGCAACATGAAGTCATTTCTGCTCCTGTACGCGAACAGATCCTGGCATCGACCACTAGCAGACCTGATCGTCTGAATTTGATATAAATTTGCTTACCTTTGTGAAATTGAGCGGGTTGCTCCCCTCTCTGCCTCTATACGTGAATCCTTCCTCATTCTCAAGATCTCCTGGATCTTTTATGTGGTCAGAGTTACTCAGCTGGCAAAGAAATCGGCCTTTTAAGAGACCTATATTGATAGATACACAGGTATCCTCCATTATACATAGGTTTTTACAATGACTGTGCAGATGAATAGCAGCTTTGAAGGAGATATTCTTGATTACATGACCTTTGAGAGCATATCCATCAACTGTTGTAGTAAACTTCAGACGTCGACAAATACCTAATGATAAATTTGAAAGCAAAATCTTAAGGATTCTCTAAGAAAACCTGCATGATCATGCAAGGTAAGTAAAAGATATGTTATTGCCCTAAAAATCTCTTAGTTTCTTTGTTACTTTAATCTTGATATTGATGCTGCAAGTAGTATTGTATTAAGAGCCATTTTCCGAGAAAATCGAAAATCGCAAGACACTCGTAAAAAATTGGAATTTTTTTCTTTTGCCAAAACATCCCTTTTAGTGACCTAATTCAAGAAAAAATAGTTTTGGGTTCAAGCGATTCATTGTACGGGAGAAATAACAAAAAGTTTGAAAAATCGATTTATTGCTGTCTTTTCGCGCTTAAAAACAGCAGAATCCGACCGCAACTTCGAGAAAACGGTGAACGCATAAAAAACAATCCCTAACATCGAAACTTCAGCCGAGTATTATTTCGTTCTTAATCTTTAAAATCCTAAAAGAAAAATTTGAAGAAAGAAGTTTTTAACATTTGCAATCGACAAGTTTAAAAAGGTCATATTTGTGTCTCTTGAAATGTTAGAAAATGAAAGCGAACTTTAACTGTTGTAAAAACCCTCTGGTATATGTCGCTTCCTAGTAAAACCCATGTAGAATATAGCCTTGGCTATTGAAGTAAATTACGGGAACGTTTTCGCTCTGGAAATTAAATGCAGCCCTAACACTGGAGTAAGCAATTTGAGAATTTAAGTTAATCAAATTTATGCAAATTAGACGGCCCGCTGAATGAATTCATACTAAACGCAAAGTTTAGTGTAATGTGTTTTTAGAGTGAAAATGTTATTTCTAGCTTTCAGCCGTGTTGGTAAGAGCCGTAAATAACTTTTTATATGACGACTGAAAAACGTTTGTTTAGCCACTTTGCTACCAGTGAAATCATTGAGATCGCAACTTCGAACTGAAGCTGTCATCGCTTGACGAAACTCCGTTACTACAATTTTAAAATAGTTTCTTCAGGGGGAAAAAGCAGAATTAAAATGCATTCGAAACCGTTGACTTCGATTCTGAATTCGTTTAGTTACGATTTCAAGCCATCACAAGGTCTTACGACCTCTGCTGACACGGAAATCGGTTACATGCCAAGGTCACGTTAGCAAACTGTCACGAAATACTCCATAGCTTCTGTTTTCGGCCTTTGTTTTGGTAAAAAAATATATAAACTTTTCACTGAACAGACCTTCTTGCTTTATTTGATTTATATATTTGTATTGGTCTGGACATATGCATATTCTGACTGGCTGTGAAAGACATTCATCTCAGTTTTTGATTCAGAGTGGTATAATATTTCCTAAAATATTTCAAACACAAATGGTTCCTTAATAAGTTCGTTATTCCCGAATTTCCCACCTTGCAACAATCCCTACAGCGAAAAAAAAAGCAGAAAAGTCAACTTAATAGCTTGCTTTAGTTTTGTTTTGGATTTTTTTTTATGATTTTTCCTCCAAAACCAGGAAACCCTAGCCAGGTAACTAGAAATTCTCAGTTTCATTAAGAGCTTGTCCACAACACAACTTCAAACTTGCGTGTGCTTATCGCATCCTTAAAGCCTTCCAGACCTCTTCAAAATTGTTGAAAAGCCTATTGAGGCTAATAATAATCTTTGAGTTAACTATGACCAATTCACGCCGCGAGCGCGAGAAAGAGAACCACTCCGCAGGGCTGAATACGCGATGTGGAGTGTTATAAAATTCCACATTCTCGCGCGTAACGCTTTCTATAGAGACCTCTAGAAGTGTTGTTTAGCGAAGATAAATAAAGTTATCTTTGGTTAACTCAAAGAACTTGCAGAAATACCTCCAGCCTGCATAACAGGCGCTTTATGAACCAAGCGAGGCGAAAGTGGCATTTTGCGCGAAGCGCGAGAAGCGACGAGGGGAGGAGAAAAATAAAGCTTTATTTTTCTCCATCCCTCGTCTCGCGCTTCGCACTCGTTTCGTGCTTCGAGCAAATGCTGCGTTCACCTCGCCTTGCTCATAAAGCGGCTGTTATGCAGGCTAAAATACCTCTTCACATTTATAAGATAAGGTGTCATTGATTCGTTAGAGCGGGAAGAGACATTTATAACGTGTAAATAGTCACGAGCTGAAAGGTAACTGACTGATTTGTAACAAGGACTCACCCTGACAAACAAGAAATGATCTCACTTTCCGAAGAGGAACGCTCTTTTAAACATAAACAAACTTCAAAAATAAGTAAAGGAAGCAAAACAATGAACAAAATAGATTTTTTCTTGACTTAGTTATTCCGGCGAGAACAAATGGTGAATGATTCACTCCTGGAAGCAAGCCTCTGAGGAGAAGTAAGAACACCGTTTAGGCAAAACTCTACAATTTGTGTACTTAACTAGCCTGTTCACAGACTCTCTTCATTTTTAGATATCGTCGAGTGCACGTATAAAAAAAAAGCGCGTTCCGCCCTCTCTCACGAGAAATCGCTTATCTTGTGCGCACCAAATTCCCAAAACAGAAAAACGTCTGTGAGCAGGGTAGTACTTTCTGTTTCTACATATTTTGTCCACGGAGCTGGCAAGTGCAATTAATGACGGCTTTTTTCAGCAGGTCAACGTAGAGCGCTTTGCGGCGAACAGGCTTGGGAGGTACTTCTAATTCTAGTTGCTGACAAATGTTTTGAAGCATTCCAAGTTTAAGTCGCTCCAGAGATCCTCCCTTGGCCATGGCACAGAAATCGTACTGATCGTAAGTGATGGGGTGCTGTAGCGTGATGGATAGGATTGTTTCTCTTGCCATGGTAAAGTTTTCCTCTTCTACTACAGCTTGGATTTCAGCATCGTCGGATGTTTACCGTCGGACCTTCGCTGCAAGACCTGAGAAATATGAAGTACACTGCTGCTGGGTAAGAAACTCGGATACTTTGAACAAACGAACACTATCAGGTCCTTGTGCACATCTCATTTCACGTTACGATATCACCGTCTGGTTTTCTGCCGCTGGTTTGACCAATTGTAAACTTCGCATTTAGATAATCCCTCTGGTTTTGGTTAAAGCGATATGCTTTTTTGCTCGGCTTTAGCGCCCATCATTCTTTTACCTCTAATTCGCCGGATGTAGCCTCTCTTGTATCCCTAAAAGACGCAAACGAAATAACTTGACTGGTCGTGCACTCCTCCAACCTGGACTTGTAGTCTAGTTTGACAAGGTCTATCAAAGACCGTTTCTGGAGACTTGGTGCATTTCTCTAAAGATAGGTGTTTTTCGAGAGATGACAGCCTTTGAAAGACCTTAACACACCCATCCTGAGGGCAGGTAAACACGGATGACGATTCATTTGTATTGTCAGTATGATCATGATCCTGCTCCACTTCCGTCTCTTGCTTCTTCCTTGACTGAGTCGGTTTTGGGCTAAGGGGTTTAAAGTCTCCAGAAGAAAACTCAGATGAAAGCCAACCAATGCCATGCTCTGAAGTAGATAACACATAAAGAAACAAGATTTACATAGACAGCACTGTTCACCTACTTCAATACTTCACTCTGCACAGCCTGTGAAGAGTGCCCCTTTGGTCCACTTTACTTCGCGAACAGATGAAACGTTTGCTTTTTACATCTTCTGACGACATGTTCGTCAGAACCGTCATATGTCCGTTTTAAAAATTTTGTAGAACAAATTAAGCGCTATAAATTTATAAAGGGGCTAAGGGGCTTAAGTCTTTTACAAAGCAAAACCCCACGGGGTGGTAGACATCCGCTCCTCCTGCGTACCAGGATGGGAAATGGATGCCTTTCATGCGTCTGAAGGCTATAACAAACACCTTTTTACTCAAACTGTAAAAAAAATATCTTTTTGCTCGATGAAATAATTCTATGAAAAAACGATGAAATTGTGAATTTTCATTAGACTAACCTTCTGATGTTGTTTCCAATGCGATCTCTTTTGCCTTTCCCATACCATAAGCGCGCCAAGCTACGAGAACTTCGTCTTTAAACTCGAAATTGTTTAATTTGTTGATACCAGTAATCTTTCTGTTGTCATCTACTACTGCTTCCTCTTCAACACTTTGCATGACAGCAACTCGAACTCCTTCTACCCCCCCATGCGAAAGAAGAGCACTCTTCAGTTGTTCGGCATTGGCCACGTCATTTCCTTCGTTTATGAAAGTCCTGACGTGATTCTCGCAGGTTGCAGCGAGCCTGTCTGCGGCACCTTTTCCACCCTGTGGGTCAGAAAAGTCAATGCGCTTGATTTCGATGCCGGTGGAGGAGGATATCACTGGGCATGAGAGTACGGTGGACGACGAATGATGACATCCTGCGTTATCCTAGCGAAAGAACGCCTTGTTAATCTCACTGTGTTCCAGCTTGACGGTATTCAGGACATCCTGCATGATTTTAACCACTGCAGCACTGCCTTGATTGCACGACTGGACTATGTGCAGAAAGCCCTGCCACTGGAGTACCCCGCTCACACGACGGTAGACGACAGAAACGTGCCAGGAGATACCTCGCTTACCAAACCAGTCGGTTTGGGACTCTCTGTATTTTTGTGGCAGGAACTTTATGGCCCAGTCGTTAATTATCAAGACAGTGTTGTCGTCTAGTTTCTCCAGTGCATCTATTCTCGCTTGGTATTGGTTAGCTGATCTAAGGATGTGGCATTTCCAGGACATTATGGCCAGCTGGGCTGTCTGGAATATAAATAGCGCTTCGTCTTTCGCGTCCTGAGTCGGAAAGGTCGTCTCGCCAAGGACCCGTTCAATCTTTGCCAGAGTTTCCTGAAGACTTTGACAACGGTCACAAAGATTAGTGTGTTGGTGACTGCATTGTTGCTGGTAATCTGAATCACTACAGTCGCTAAGAGCAAACAACACACAATGGTCTGCTACGTTAGAGGGGCTAGTGACATGAACCTGTTGATAAAACAAAACTGAGATTACTGTTTGTCTGTGCTTATACTTCAATATAATAGTTAATCAAATGATTTTTTAATCTAACATATATTATTAACGTAGGGGGGCGAATAACTTT